AGGTCCCCCCTGCCTACGCGGGCCGTCCGGAGCCTCCCACAACCCTCTAGAGAGCGCCCCCCAGCCTCCCAGGGCCCCCCACTGGTATCCCAAGACCCCCATAGAGGCTTCCAGTACTTCCAAAACCTTCTGGGGCCGCATGCGGCTTCCCGCAGCGCCCCGATAGCCTCCGAAGACTTCCAGGGCCAACCCAAAGCCTTCCCCGCCAATCTCCGCCCTTTCCGCGCCCCTCCTCCGCCCCGCCCATGGCCGCCCACCTCCCTCCACGCGCGCTGGGCTGCCCCCGCAAGCCCGAAGCGTGCTCGCGGGCGCGCTCGCGAGAACACGCAGATGAACCTGGACTTGTTCTTGGGGGGGGGGCACCGTTGCCCGACCTGTCTGGCAGTTCACAGCTCACTTGCTCGCAGCCGCTCGCACCGCAATGCGGGCACGAATGGCCTCCGAGCAAGGTAGAGGGGCGGTAGAAGCTTTCAAAGCACCCTGCCGCGCCACCTCAAAGACCACCGTGCTGGACGACGGATTGCCGTGGTATGAGGAAAACGCCTTGATCCCAGGGTCCCCCCAGTTTCTGAGTGGCCAAGCTTTCCGGGCGGAGCTCGGGCGTGGGGGAGCAACATCGCTTGCGACCCGTCCCATCAGCACTCCATAGTTGAACCACCGAAAGGGGGTTCGGGACCCAGGCCGCTGGCGGTGTGGGCCAATCGCGCCGGCATTTTGTTTCGCTGCCTTCGGCCTCTCGAGTTGGGCGCCCCGAGTATCTGGGAGAACTGCTGTCCAGGGTAACTCCAGCGTGGGCCCCCGAGGAGTGAATATGTAATTACTGTCGGGGTGTTGACCTAAGGAACCTTAAATAGGGAACGATGCCCCTTTCCAAAAAGTTAATGTCGATTTCCCATGGAAAACCTTGGGGAAACATAAAGCACATTGCACAACAATCGAGGAACACTGAGCCCCTCCCCAACGAAAAGGGTTCCTTCTGCAGCGCCCCGACTGCACCCCTGATTGCCCCCAACTCTGATGACTCGGGAGGGCTGGACACCAGAATTATCTGGGGTAGCCGCGATCCGGGGCAAACGCCCCCCGAGGCGCGCGAACCTGTAGCTCTCCTGGACCGCCCTTGGCCCGGATGACCCGGGGTTCTGATCGAGGCCGCTTTCCGCGGGCCTTCGGGCCGGCAGCAGCAGCGCCTCGGGAAGAAAACGCCGAGTGGCGGCGCGGACAGATCGCGCGTCGGCCGTCTGTGTCGTACTCTTGTGGGCTCGCCCGAGAGGCCCCTGGGGCCGTGATCATGGGCTCGGAAGATGGCGCCGGCCCCGGGGACGGATCGTCGAGAGGTCCAGGCGCGTCCACGTCTCGAGGGAAGTAGAGCCGATGGGCTCTGGGGAGGAGGCAGCAGGATGACGAGGATGACGAGGGGCAAAAACGAAGGAACCGCCTCCATTGCTCTGGAGCGCGTCCCCGGAAGGACGGGCGTCAAGGGCGGTGTTGTTGTAGCCGCTGGTGTCATGGCTCATACAGTCATTGACTCGCACAGTCAGGTCACATCACAAGGACACACGATAAGGATGCAAGGGCCGTGGAAGGCCATGCCGACACTTTGCGAGCAGGGCGCGGCCAGCGAAAGTGGCCAAGGATGGGCCGAAGGTGAAGGATGCAAGGGAACCCTTGGAAAGTCGCTCATCCTTACTATGCGGGTCGACTGCATTCGGCCAGCGTTCAGGTGTAGAGGATCAGCAAGGGGACGAGAATGACTGGGAGGACCGATGCGAGGACGACGAGGAGCACGGTAATGGCATACTTAGCAGGCGCAAGGACAAGCCCTGGAAAATTTCCGGATGTCTTCTGTCGGGGATCTACTGAAACGGGTCAACATCCAGACGCGGGTCAGTCGGGCTTCGAAAGATCCTGTCAGACCCCGCAAGATCCTGCAGGATCCTGCGCACGGGCCCGCGTCAATACAGTCCTGGCTCTGCGGGAGCATGCAAAATCCGGCGCTCTGACTGATCCCTGTTTTGAGCAGGGACCGACCGTCCCGGCATTCCTATAGGCCTACCACGACATGTTCTTAGAACCCCCAGAATGTGCTAAGAACAGGAACAATGTTCTTAGAACGCAAATCCGATGTGTTAGAACATGACAGCCCCAGCCAGAAGTGTTCTAGGAACATTTCGTGGAAGCCACAGAAGGTTCTTAGAACATTGTCTGGCAGGCCTACTAGGCACGTCAGGACACCTCGCCACTGCTGCGAGCCTCTGGATGCCCCGACTCGGAGGCCCCTGCAGGCTCCCGTCCTCCAGCCGGCATGAAGACGCCCGACGAGGGTCGGCGTTCGATCCCGGGGGGGGGGGTCGACGTTTGATCACGAAGGGCGAGGGTCACAGGGCGAGGCGGCTCCTCGTCCTGGCGCGCACAGGGGCGTCGAAGTGCCAGGGCTTCTTCAGGAGTAACCATGCTTTCAGAGACGCCTCCAACCCTTCTAAAAAGTAGAGGTCAAAAAATCCCCCCCCATGAGTTGGAGGGGGGAAGGAGGAGGAGGAGGAGGTCGAGGAGGAGGAGGAGGAGGACGAAGAGGAGGAGGTGGAGGAGGAGGACCCCCTCCCCCTCCAACTTATGGTGGTGGTGGTGGTGGTGGTGGAGAACAGTCCCATCATGCTTTCTGAGACGCCTTCAACCCTTCAAGAGAAGCGGCAGTGGGGGATGAATTGATGTTCGGAACGCTGGGGGAGTCTCGTTCCCCGTTTGCAGCTGTTAAACTTGCGGCCAACGAACACGGGAACGGCAACCCAAATCAGACAACAACGGCGATACAAAACGGAATCAAACCGACAACTCCCAATCGGAAAAACAAACGGACCCCCCCCCCAAATGGGAAACAAAATCATCGCTCTCGAAGGCGAAACAAACAGCGCCTCAAGTGTGTAGGGGGGGGGGGCCCAGGAAGGCGCAAGGCTTATTCAGAAAGGCCCCATCCCTTCCGGGAAGCCTCCCATCCCTCCCAAGCAACACTGGGCCTTGCGAGACGTCCGCCCACCGCGACCCACCCCACCAGCGCGCCGCATTCCTCCTCCTCCTCCTCCTCCTCCTCCTCCTCCTCCTCCTCCTCCTCCCTCCTCCCTCCTCCCCTCCCTCCTCCTCCTCCTCCTCCTCCTCCTCCTCCTCCTCCTCCTCCTCCCTCCTCCTCCTCCTCCTCCTCCTCCTCCCCTCACCTCCTCCTCCTCCTCCTCCTCCTCCTCCTCCTCCTCCTCCTCCTCGCTCTTCCTCCTCCTCCTCCTCCACCTCGCTCCTCCTCCTCGCCCCAAGACGGCCGAACGAAGAGGCTCCCAAGACCACCCCGAAGGCGGACCAAGAGGGCCACAGCACAGCCCCAGGAGCTGGCGTCGGTGAAAACAGCGTGGGGCACGACCTCTGCGCCCCGAGACGGGCTTCCCTCAGTGAGGCTCCCCGGCACCAAGAAAAACAAGCGTGATCTTGGCTGCGCGGCTCTAGGAGGCCGCGGGAGGGGGGGGGGAGGAGCTAGTCCAAGAGCGAGTTTGTTTACTTTCGGCGAAAGTGGGCATATGATTGGGGGGGGGGAGGGGGGGGGGTTTAATGTAACGCCCCCCCCGCCGTGCGCACGGCGACAGTGCCCGGAGCGCACTGGGAGGGGAAGGGGCGCTACGTTATGGGGGGGGAGGGGGGGCCGGGGGCTATAATGCCTATTATGCCCAAGCACAGAAACAAACACGCTCCAAGCGGTCGGGGGCGACGATGAGAGCGAATAGTCCAGGGGAGGGCAATGCATGTATCCAGGGGCGCCTAGAGTTCTTGCCTTCGCCGAGGCTCCCGACGGAATGCGTGCAATGCCCGTCCCTGGGCGATTCGCCTCTGTCGTCACGAGCACTGTGGGTCAGCTTTAGTAGGCCGGGCCACTCCGGCGAAGAGTCACTCTTACTCGTCGATCGGAAGAAGTAGGTAGAAATAGGAATATAATAGAATAGGGAAAACCCCTCGACCATTGAGGTAGGAAGGCGGCCGTATTACATTGGGATCGACATGTCCAAAAATACATACTTTCAACGACCGACGGGTACGCGTAGCTGGCCACAGGCCGCAGAGGGCGGGAAAGCCAGAGAGAGAGAGAGAGAGAACATGAGAAAGCGAGGATGCAGGCTGGCCGCACACGAAAGCGAGCGAGGACATAAAATGACCTCGGCGCGCCTCTACTCGTCAGAGGGGGAACGTTCTGGGGGGACCAGCTTGGCGGCGCGCATTAGGGGGCAGGGGGAGGGGGGAAGGCTTCTTACAAGGAGGGTGCTTCTTAGAAGACGCTCGTCCAACATCTATAAACGAGGCCCCTCTAAGACGCAGGGGGCTTCTAAGAAGCCTTCCCCCCTCCCCCTACCCCCCTCTCCGCGTGGCTAACCGGCTCAGGGGGAGCCTCGAGCTCGAATCGGCGATGCATCGCCGATACATCGGCGGTGCGCCTCCGATAAGAGTCCGCATGCTCCCGAGCGGACCAGGGCTATCGGGCCACTATCGGCGATCAGTGGACGATGGAGGGTCGATGTGCTTCCCCTGAGCATAGCCTCCCCGAACATTGCCCCGAGGCTTTCGGGCCATATCTCGGCTCTCGGGCGGCCCTTCGGGACGATCAGGGCATTCCTGAAACGCCCTCGACAGAGTGCAGCTGAAGGAAGCCGCGCCAGGGCTCGAAACTGTGCACCGTCCGGCGCTCCCCCCCTGCGCCTGTCCCTCCCGAGCGTTGCCCCTGAGCGACTGCACGCAAGAGTAACCCTGGGTAAGAGTGACCTTTGGCGCGCGGCTTCTTGGGGGCCCAAGGGGGACCAAACACGAGCGCGCAAGACGCTACTGCCGCGTCGCGATCGGCGATCTGGGGGACGACCCCCTTGGGCCCGCACCAGAGGTCACTCCAGCGAAAGGTCACTCTGAGTACGCATAGTCGACCCGAGCCCTCGCCTCTCGACAAAGACGAGGGCGCTGCCCCTGGCTGCGGCGGCCGCCGGTCTCCCTCGCCATCTCGAACAAGTTCTTCACCTGCGCGCGGTCGCCAGCTGCGGCCGCCCGCTCCTCCCGCCCCCTTCGGCGGTCCGAAGCTGGGGCCCTGAAGGATCAGGCGCTAAGGACGATGATTGAAGCTGGAGCGGCGGGGGTAGCGCAGACGAGGGGAGCGGAGTAGGTGCAACAATACTTGCATTAGCTTTGTTCCATGGGTGCAACAGTTTGCGGTCGTGACGCAGTAGTTGTAGTTCTTGCCCCCCCGTCATCCAGTCTAGAGATGGCCCCTCAAACGATGCAATCCTATCCTCAATAGAGGGCAGACGAGCCACCCTCATGGTACGCACCCCGACAAGCGACGCCATTCAGGAAACGCACTGAACGAAGGAATCGAACAGGACAGAGCAGAGCAGTAAGCGCCCAGGGCCGTCTAGCGAACGCCACTTCATGGGGGTCAGGGTGGTTTCTCCGTTTGAGCCGCCTCTCATGCGCTCACCGATCAAGATCGAAGGAGGACGCATGCTGGAAAACAAGAGATCAGCCAGCCGAGCGAGGGGGGGGGGGGGGGGGGGCAGGGCTCGGGCCCCCCTCCCAGGGCCCCGTCCTTGAGCCGCCGGCCCCTGCCCCCGCCTGCAGGGGCGGGGCCCCGAACCGGCGGCCGGGGCGGGAGGCGCGCTCCTCTGGCCAGCCGATCGCGAGCAGCGCACATGTCTCGGCGGCACGCCGGGAGGGGGAAGTGAGCGGGAGAAGGCCTTCTCAGAAGGCGGCGGGGCTTCGCAGAAACCGTGCGGCTTTCTGACGAATTTTCGGCGTCTTCACGGGGAAGTGTTCGGTGTCTCCCTAGGCTGGAGGAACTTCCGAGCGTTCTGAACCGGCCCGCCAGCTCTCACTTCCCCCCTGGGCTCGCCGCCGGAGTATCCACATCCGCGCCCTTGCGGTCTGGATTCTGGAGCGGGCCCGAGGGGCACCGCTAGGGCCGCACCGGCTCACGGGCAAACACCGAGCGGGCATCCGCGAGACGTCGCCGATGGATCGCCGGCAGGCCCCCGGTAGCGAAACCGAAAGCCCCTTCTCGGCGATCCATGGGCGATGGGGGGGGGGCAGCGAGGCCCCCCCCCCCCCCCAGTCTGGCCGGCCCGAGCGCTGCCCCCCGATCCCGCACCTGCCTCCCGCGAAGGAGGCAGAAGCGGCGCCAGGGGGCAGACGAGGGGCGAGGAGGAGGAGGAGGAGGAGGAGGGGAGGAGGAGGAGGAGGAGGAGGAGGAGGAGGAGGAGGAGGGGAGGAGGAGGAGGAGGAGGAGGAGGAGGGGGAGGAGGAGGAGGAGGAGGAGGTGGATGAGAGGAGGAGGAGGAGGAGGAGGACGAGGAGGAGGAGGAGGTATGGTATGGGTTTGCGCTAAACGCGGGGTCAAGCCCCAATTCAGAATGGCTCGGCGTCGGAGTCGCCCTCCTCAGGGCTGTCCGCGCTCCGCTGCAGGGCCGAGCGGCCGAGGTCGCGGACCAGTTCGAGCTCCCCCTCCCACAGCCCAAACGCCCTCAGAACCTCGGCCCGCCCCCCATGATCAGCCCGCCCCCATCCGCCACTAGCCCCGACGCTTGGGGCCGCGGGCTGTGGCTCTGGGGGCAGGCTCAGCTCGGCCTCGGCTAGGCTCGAGCGGGTCGCTGGCAGCACACCGTGCGGCCTCCCGACCTTCAACGAGCGCACATTGGCGCGGTAAGAGGGGAATTCTCCTTTCTTGATCCTTCGCAGCTGGTCCACTCCTCCAGCTTTGGCCTTCTCGGGGCACCACCCCATGAGACCCGAAGTTAGCTTGCCGTCCGAGGATACGGTGCCACAGCGGCAGCAGAAGACGACAGAGGAAACGTGGGCGGTGCGACTGAGCACATCTGCCTCCAGCAGGTTGTGGCCTTGCCACCAAAAACTGGCGTCTGCATACTCTTCCCACCCGTCGCCCACCCCGTACGACGACCCCACCTCTTCACCACTGCTGCACGCCTGGGGCACAGGCTCGGGGTCCTCTGGGGTCTCTGGGTCTTCCTCGGCAGTAGAGCCCCGAGACCTCCAGTACGCTTCCATCAAATCTTCGTGGTCCTGGCCATTGGACTCAACGTGCACACAAGCCGCCCATCGGGCGGTTTCTTGGGCTAAAAACTTAAAGCCTTGCCACAACTGAAACTGCTCCTCACCCGCGCCGTGCTCCGCAGCACCAAGCTTCGCAAACCTGTCGGCGTGGGCGTTCCCTCTGTACTCCCACTCAGTGGTAACACCCGCATCTACCTGGGCTCTGGTGCAGTGGGCCTTGGTTTTAAAAACTTGGAAGTCCCCTTCTGAGAACGCTCCCCAGAACGGACTCCAGAGCTGGGCCCGACCACAACTGCTCTGGGATCCAGCGCCCGCGCCGCCACGGAGCGCCCCAACAGCGCCTGCACAGTCGATGAAGACATCGAAGGGCGCCATAGCACAAACGCGCAGCATCGAGACGGCGTAATCCTCCGCGTCTCTAGAACTCTGCTTAGGGCACACACTGCATGGGACGGGCCCGTAGGCCGCCGAAACAACATTTCCAAACCTATCTACCTGCACGATGGCCCAGCCCGCTCGGGCCAAAAACGGAGCCGAGGCCCATAAGGCCGAACCGTCTAAGAACAGCGTGCCACTCAGGAGCCCTGACTCAGGTCTGTTGTGCCACAAGATGGTCTCTTGGGCCTCGGTCAAGACGGGGAAGACCAACTCTGGCGACGGGAACAGGCCTCTCGCAAACCTCCCCCCCTCGTCGTACCCCCATTCGCGGACCCTGCGAGCCCTCGTCCTGTGGAAGTCGTCAACCCATTCACGCCTGAGCCCTGCATGCTTCGGGCACTCGTATGCCCTGTGCCACAAGGACCCTTCAGGATCACCACATACACAACACCTCGCTGAGCCGACAAGTCCATGGTGGTGGAGCCGACTTTGTGGCCAGTGTCCTCCAGAAACCAAGGATCTCAACGTCCTCTGAAACCTCTTCGTCCAGGATCCCTTGGTCCGATGCAGGAGCCCCTCAAGTCCTGCCCAAAATATCGGCATATTCCACCTGGCTTTGGGCTCACGACAAAAAAGAGCTTGCCGATCAGAAGCTCGCCTGGCGCCTGCAACTGCTAGCTCCTGAACGAGCGCTGGAGGTAAAACTCGAAGGTCTAGTGCTTCCTGCCGATCCGTGACCATGCACGCACCTGACCGCAAACTCCAGCCTATTCTGCGAAGACTGAGCACGGCTACTTCAGCTGGGGCTGCTGCTAACAGGAAGCTTCGGAAACGACTCCCAGACCGCCGCCGCCCATTGGAACACAACCATCCCGATGTTCAACAGCAGCGGGTCCACTCGGACCCCTTCAGCATAGCTCAAGAGACGGAGCCCGACCGTGGAGCCCTTGGGGACCTTCCCGAGACTTCCAGCAGCTCCCAATCGAAGACGATGCAGTTGGGTCGACGGAATCCCCATGATGCTGGACCCCCATAGAGCCGACGCTGTAGGGCCTCCACGTTGAATGAACCCCGTGTTGGCCCCTGCCTCCCTGAGCTTCTTAATCTTAATCGTCCTCCCTCTGGCCTTGCCCCACCTGTCCCGAGTGATCCGAACCCTCCGTAGGGACCCCATCACCGCGTCGGTGCCGAGGTTCCTTGCATGATCCACCTTGCTTTCCTTCGGGAGGTCCCACAGGGGCTGCAAGGCCTCATTCAAATCCGAGTCGCTAGTCATGTACTTCGACTTTTCCGAGACGGGGAGCTCGAGCTCCGAGAAACTGGACAACAGGGACTGCACACCTGCGGCGAGCTGCGGTGCAATGAGCTGCTGCGGACCAACAATCTGCAGCGCGATGTCGTCTATCACGTTTCTGACGCACAACTGTGGCCGGCCAGACTGCGCGGCCGCGAGCGGCGATAACAACAGCAACTTCGTAAGCGTGGTAGCTGCTGAGCACCCTGCAATCACTGCCCCATTACCTTGCACCTTCCTAGATACCGCCCCTCCATAGTGCAGCATCCTATCCCCTGCATTAGTCACGCACAGCCCTCGCAGGAGCTTCAAATTGAAGCCATGCTGGCACGCCACCCGATACAAGTCCATATGGTCGATGTGCTCATAGAACTTCTTAAGGTCCAGAAGCACCGTCGCCGCCGAGGTCCCCAGGACTTTCCCGAAGTGGGCCAGCATGTTGTGGACCCATCCTGCTCTCTCGCAGGTAGACGTGGCCCCGACGCCCCAGAAGAAGGCCTGCTCGTGGGCCTGTTCCCAGGTACGGCAGATGCTTTGACGGCACTTCGACCAAATCTTGGTGAACATGCACAATAATCCTATCGGGCGTACTCCACCATCTGGCTTGTCAAGGAAGATGATATTCGTCAAAAACTCTGCAATCACACAAGGTCGATCTTCGAACGAGCGAAGGATGTCGATAACACGCAATTGATACTCCTCTGGAAGAAACAAGATCTGGCGGGGATGGAAGGAGTCCCACCCAAGACCAGCCCCTTCCCCATACGAGTTACACACACGCCTCAACTGCTCCAAAGAGATAGGTGGCAATTCTTGTCCCAACACATCCCAATGAGCTGGGTGATTTTTGCTGAGCCTGCCTTCTTTGTGCCATAGGGGAAGCCACTGATCTAGAAGCTGGAGGAGCGCAAGCTCACCGTTGACTGGTAAGCGGCCGTGGTCGTCAACGACACTGAACGGGACCGTCCGGTCTGCGCGAGAGACCCTGGAATAAGCATGTGCTGCCTTCCCTCCCCGCTGCACTGACGACTTAGCCCACTCCTTCCACTCCGAAAGGGACTCCTTGGCGTCCGACTTGCGCAGGCCTTCTACATACTCTCGTAACTGCCCGAACAGCCCTTCTAACTCCTCTCTGAGCCCCATGGATATCCCTTCAACTAGGCTGATCAAAAAGCGGGCATTCGTGCCTTCGTCTGGCGCCTCCAGCGCCGAGATCATCCCGAACAGGGCGGCACACCATTCGTGAAAAAGACCGCGTGCTCTGGCTCCTAGCATATCTTGGCCAACTGCAGCTGCACGACGAGCCAACGCCTCGAAGGACATCCAACTGGTGGTCCGCTTTGAATATCTCCTCCTAGACTCTCGGCCCCAAACCGTCTCGAGGGGAATCTTTATGACCTTAGGGCCCCCAGCTCTTCCACACATCCTGGCAACGCTAGCACTGTCTAGGTCGTGGAACTGCATGAGCCAGCCCTCAGCCTGGGTGAACCATTCCCTGACCATGGACCCCAAACAGTGCGAGCCTCCTCCAACTTCCCAAGACCACGTGCTTTCCGTAGGGAGCCTCCGAGGACCCACGAGCTTGTCCAGGGGGAACTGCGTATATCTAACCTGCTTCGGGACGACCGTCGACGGGGCCAGGTTCTTGACAACGATACCCACAGGCATATGAGGCCACGAGGGGGCTGCAGGGAACGCCAGGACCTCCTTGACGCAGTGCCCTAAACACCTGGGCCCCACGAAGAAATCGATCTCCCGCTCATCCTTCCTGTCGACCTCCTCCTCTGGCCCTGAACTGGTTACTGGAGCGGACCCTGCTCGACACGTAGCGTGGCCCGTCGTAAACATACATCCCCCAACCTTGGACACCCATTCCGATGCTTCAAGCTCTTCAGGGGTGAGGTTCCAGCCCCCTTGCACAATCCAGAGGCAGGTGAGGGACTTGATGTACTCTCCGAGAGTGTTCAATAACTCAACATTGTCCCCTGCGACTCCAATGCTGGTGTAGAGGTAGACCGAGAAAACCATCAACCCGCCTGGAAGTCCTACGTTGATGCGCCTGCTTGCCACTCGCGACTTGAAAGATTCCAACTCGGGTGGCCATGGCGCACTAGAAGACGCCAGAGAGCTGGCCACTGCCAAGCCTACTCCTGCCGAGGACTGCGTCGGACCTGGCCCTGTGGACGCTGCTGGTCCTAGAGAAAACGCGAAGGAGCGGCGATCACCCCAGCCATAGGCGGAGTCCAACTTACCCTTCTCCTTCAGCCGAGTCTCTTGCACGCAGATCACATGCGGCTTGACTGGTTCGCCTGAAGCCGACTCCACGCCGAAGAGGTTCGCTTCTTGGTCCCTACACCAGTCAACCACATTGGTGAACGAGCCCCACGTGTTCGCATTCACACCAAAGATGATCAGATCGCTGACGATCGTGACCGAGTGGCCGACTCCACGAGCCACGCCGTCCTGACATAGTTTTCCCTTCCCGCGTCCGTCGCCAGGTGGGGACGAGAGATGGTGTAGCCCTTTCCGCTCAGAGGGCGAGTCTCCTTGGGCACCGTCAGGGCTAGCTTGGCACTCAGCTGCCCCTGCCGCAGGTGGAGGCAGACCGCCACATCCTTCCATGAAATCGCCCAGGCCTCCACCGAGAACACAAGGCCCATCACTTCCAGATGCGACGCAAGCCTGCAACTCACCATGCCCGTGAACAGGTGGGGAGGAGAGGTGGCGCGGGCCTTTCCGCGCAGCAGGTGCGCCTCCAGCCGTCCTGGTACTTCCCCCCGACGCGGTGCCCGAAGACGAGGGAGCCGCCGACCCCGAGGTGGCACCCGTAGGAGGTGTGGACTCGCGGGGAAGGCCCCCAGCCCCGTTGCGACCGAGGGGTCCCACCTCGCGCGACATAAGAGAAAGTGATGCCGTCGGGGTCGAGGTCGACCCAGAAGGCGATGTCCCTGGCCCTGGCCCTCTTCGAGGGTCCTCGACCCGAGGGGGGGCAGCTTCGCGAGACCGTCCGTCTCTGTCCGAAGCTTCGTGGCCCAGGCGAGGCCACTGCCGTGGGTCCAGACCGACCCCGTCGAACTGGCGGAACAGCTCCGTGTCGAAGACGAGGTCGTCCCTCAACACTGGGACTGCGAATCCCGTCGCCTGCTCCCAGTCGAAGTCGATCATGTTGCCCCTTGCGAAAGCGTCGAGGTCGGCCATGCCCATGCTCGCCCTCGCCGCTGGCTCGGGAGCACTGGACGCCACTGGGTCAGCATCAACCCGCACTCGGCCGTCACCCTCGCCGCGCCTTCTTGGCCGTGTGCTCGGCGAGCAGCTTGGCCACGGCTGCAGACGTGTCCCCCTCGCCGTCCATGGCTCGCTTGAGGGACTCCTGGAAGTCGGCCTCCAGGAAGTCGGACTCGTCCATGGGAACGGCCTGGTGCTCACCTCCATCATCAGGGGCATCCTCTGCCTGACCCCCAGCATCAGCACCATGATCGCCAGGAGGGCCTGGGCGAACGTCCTCAGCCTCTGCCGCCTGCTTGGCTGCCTCCGCATCCGCAGCCGCCTTGCGCTGGAGCTCTTCAAGGACAGCAAGGGCGTCCTTGCCTTCCTGCGTTGACAGCACCGCAGGCTCCAGCCCCGCCGTGAGCACCTTGAGAGGGTTCTCGTGCTCTCCTGCCTGGAGCTTCGCCAGCACGCCTCGGGCTGCGACGAGGTCCGCCTTGGCCTGGTCGATCCCCTTCTGGATGCCGTCCAGCTCCTCATCGAGGGCTGCCCTCTGCTCGTTGATGTCGACGCAGCGGGCCTCTGCCTTCTGGATCTTCTTCTTGAGGTTCTCCACCTTCCACCAGGCAGACATGGTGGTGGGCGGCTTGGGCGGCGCCACAGCCTTGGTCTGCGCGGCCGCCAAGACCGCAGCATGGGCGTCCTCAAGGCCCTCACTCTTGAGGAACTCCGCCACCAGCTCGTGGGAGAGCCCCGCAGCAGACGCTGGCGCCTCGCCCTTGGCCTTCGGCGGACCGCCTCCAGCTGGGCCCTGCCCCTTGCCACTGCCCTTCGCCTTGGCGCCCGCAGGCTGCTGGTGCCAAGGGGGCGCTGGCGGCGCTGGCTTGCCGCTGAGCTCCGCCACTTTGACACGCAACTCCTGGATGAGCCTCGCCTGCTCGGCCGCGACTGCCCCTCCAGGCGGCCCGTCGGCCCAGGCGCCCTGAGCACGTGGCTTGACCGAGACCGAGGGGCTCTTGGCAGCCGCGGCAGCCCTGCGCGCCGCCTGGACCACCTTCGCAGGTGCCGATGCCCCGCAGTTCCTGCACTTGACTCGATTCGCCCAGTTGTTCCAGCAGCCGCAGGAGCACCCCCAGTAGGGGGTGCGAGCGCCTGGCAGCACATCGGGCTGTGGAACCATGCGCCGCTCGAGGTGCGGTCGCTGGCTCCCCTTCGTGAAAGAAAGAAAGGATGGCTCACAAGCGCGAGCCGCTCTGAAGAACGCGCTTGCAAGCTCAGGCCACAACAGCCTGAGCCAGAACGGCTTGAGCCAAAATGGCTACGGAGGAGGAGGAGGGGGAGGAGGAGGAGAAGGGGGAGCAGGAGGAGGAGGAGGAGGAGGAGGAGGAGGAGGAGGAGGAGGAGGAGGGGGAGGAGGGCGGAGGGCGCGCCAAGCGCTCGCTCTCGCCCATCCACTTGGACACCAGGTCCGAGGAGGAGAGGCTGAAGAAGGTGGCGTCCGCCTCTGGGGGGCCGCGCACCGCCCCTTCACAAGCGTCAGGTCGGGCAGGTCCTCCTACAGGTGGATGCTGGACGAAACATAAAAGAAATGCAGCAACAAAAAAAAAGTCAGTATTACAAACTAGTCCCAAACTCGTCCCCAGACTGCTTTTTGACTATTGGTAAACATTCCCCCAGTAGAGGGACACGCCCGACTCAACACAAGCGCCCGCAGCGGCGACAGGACCGAACGCCGACCAGACCGGCAGCGAAGCCGACACGCGATGGGCCCGGAACAGCCGAGGAGAGCGCATCTCGACCAAGCGAGCCGAGCCGAAGGAAAAAAGACGGGGGATGCGGGGGGAAGGGAAGCAGAGGGAGGGGACGGGGGAGGGGGAGGTTTGTCAAGAGGGAAGAGAAGGTGAGACGGATGGGGGGGGAGGAGAGAGGAGGCGGAGAAGGTTGTTGCTGGCTTTTCTATTGCGTGTGCGCGCTTGTCTACGCTCGCACGCAAAGAGATCAGTCCACTTGAGAGTGGACCGCTCAAGTACCCCATCAGCGCGCTGGAGAAACAGTGTGTGTGTGTGTGTCTGTATGTGTGAACTCGCTCCCCGCGTATGTAGGCGCCGACCGCGCTGTGCGTCCACCAGCGCTGCGACTAAAAAGCGTGAAAGCCCGCTGCCCACTGAGCGATGATCGACGCAAGCACTTCGTCCTCACTGTCGATCCCACGATCGGTCTCGCTATCGATCCTACAGTCGAAAACCATCCACTGATTGGGCTTTTCGCTGGTTTGATGCCCCATCAGTGCTTGCACTGAAGGGGTCCTAGCGGAAAATGAAGGATTTGACGCAAATTCCCCGCCGATTTTGGTGGCAAGCTGGGTTCCCGGGTTCCTGGGTTCCCGGTTCCGGGTTCCCGGCTTCCCGGTTCGGGGTTCTGGGCCGATTTCGGAGGGCGGCGAGGTTCCCGGGTTCCCGGGTTCCTGGTCGATCTTCTTATCGATCGGTCTCACCATCGATTTCATGACCGACTTCTCGATCGATCTCACCATCGATCTCACAATCGATCTCACTATCAATCTCACAAGCGATCTCACTACAGATCGCATGAGCGATCTCGCGATCGATCTCACTATCGATCTCATTGAATCGACTTCACTCTCGGTCTCACGATCGCCCTCACAGTCGTCCTCACTATCGATTCCACTATCGATCTCATGATCGATCTCACAATCGATCTCAAGATCCATAGTGTCAATTTTGAAATCATCCACTGATTGGGGTTTTCTCAAGTGTAATTACTTTCTCTCCAGTCTTGGTTTAACGCCCTTGCTACACACTGCTCTGTCCAGCTGGGCCTCTCGGTTGCCGTCGAACTTCCCCGGCGGCTCCGCCCCCTCCCCCGTCTTTCTTGAAGGGGCCCCGAGACACACAAATAAATAGACACAAATAAGAGGATTCCAAATATTTTCAAATATTTTCTTGATTGTGTCTTCCCCCCCACTTCCAATATTTTCCCATAGTTTCGATTACTTGAGTGTGAGTGTTTTCGTGCCCTCCTGATTTCCTTGCGTCTGCGATTGCGTTGACGTCGTCGCACTTCTCGACAATCTCCTGCACGCGCCTGTCTGGGCTGCCTCTTGCCAGAAAGCCAATTGGCTGCACCTTCCTGTACAGTTACACTCGTTCTGGGGATTGACAACTGCGTGTGTGTGTGTGTATGTGTGTGTGCGTGTGTGTGTGTGCGTGTGTGTGCGTGTGTGCGTGTATGTGCGTGTGTGCGTGTGTGTGTGTGTGTGTGTGTGTGTGTGTGTGTGTGTGTGTGTGTGTGTGTGTGTGTGTGTGTGTGTGTGTGTGCGTGCGTGTGTGTGTGTGTGTGTGTGTGTGTGTGTGCATGCGAGTGTGTGCTTGTGTGAAGTTTACCCTTGAATGATATGCCTCGGGTGATTGTTTATCTCCCCCAGCGGGGGATACCAGGTCCTGCAGAATCCATACGTCCTCCACATGTGTGTGCAATGTTCGACAACGCACGTGTTTCATTAACTGCCGCAATGTTGCAGGATGCAAAGGCTGAACGTAGCAATGGTGCTTGGAGGGGCACATACTAAAATTGAATGTACGTGTGCAAATTCTGGCCACCGTGCCGTAAGGATAAGTGAAAGGTAAGATAACGAACATGTAAGTACAAAAGGTGAAGGTGCAAACAGCTATCTAGTCAATGTGCATGCGCACGTAATGGCAACGTAATGGACGGCACCGTAAATCAATATCGTTCCGAAGGGGCAGAGCACGCATGCTGAGCGTCGGCAAGACTGGGCACACGAGGAGGTGGTAGAGGAGAGGGAGAGGTAAACAAGCAACTCGTCGGAAGAACCAAAACACTCGAGGGAACAGTTCGGGCTTTCACCCTGTCTGCCCTACAGAAGGGTGGTCGACGACAAGTCGAGTCGAGTCGGCCTTGCGGGCGCCGTCTACAACAAACTTGGCTCACTACATCTTCCCAGGCCCTCGACCTCATGTCATTCTCCAATCAGTGCTTGCACTGAAGGGGTCCTAGCGAAGATTCCCCAATCAGTGCTTGCACTGAAGATGTCCTAGCAGATGGCCCATTTCGGTAGGCGGCCGGGTTCCCGGGTTCCCGGATCTGGGTTCCTGGGATCCTGGTGCAGGTTCTGGGCCGATTTCGGCGGGCGGCGGGGTTCCCGGGTTTCTGGGTTCCCGGGTTCCTGGTCGATCTCCTTATCGATCGGTCTCACCATCGATCTTATTACTCACCTCTCTATCGATCTCACTATCGATCTCACAGTTGGTCTCAATGTAGATCGCACCAACTATCTCACGATCGATCTCACGATCGATCTCACTGAATCGATATCACGATCGGTCTCATGACCGACCTTGATATCGTCCTCACCATCGATCCCACTATCGATCTAATTCAAACATTTGGCGAAAATTCCCGGCAAATTTCGGTAAGCGGCCGGGTTCCCGGGTTCGCAGCTCCGGGTTCCCTGGTTGCTGGTTCCAGGCCGATTTCGCAGTGGGCGGCGGGGATCCCTGGGTTCCAGTTTCTGGTTCGCTGGGTCCTGGGGTCCTGGTCAATCTCACCATCCATCTTACTCAATCGACCTCACCGTCGGTCTCACTACCAATCTCACTCTCGAACTCACTCTCGATCTCACTACCGATCTCACTCTCGATCACACATTATCGCTATCGATCTCACCATCGATCTCACGATCGATCTCACGAACGATTTCACGATCGATGACACGATCGCTCTTACTATGTATGTTATCATCGATGTCACTATCGATCTCACTGAATCGATGACATTACCGATAATCACTATTGATCTCCCTATCGAACTCGCTGTCGATCTCCCTATCGATATCACTATGGATGCAACGCGTTATATCTCACGATCGGTCTCACCATCGAACACACGATCGATTTCACGATCAATTTCACAATCGATCCCACTCAATCGTTATCACTATCGATCTCACTATCGATCCCACTATCGATCTTGCTAGCAATCTCACTATCGATCTCACTCAGTCGACCTGACTACCAATCTTGCTATCGACTTCACTATAGATCTCACGTTCGATCTCACTCGATGGGTATTGCTATCGATCTCACTTTCGATCGCACTCAATGGATCTCACTATCGATTTCACTGTCGCTGGCATAGCATAGCATAGCACGGGACACCCCCGCGCCACGGGCCACCACGGGACACCGTCCGGACACCATCGGAACACTTTCCGGATCACCACAAGGCCACTGCTGGCCAACCCGGGGGACAGAAACGTTTGATTCGGCATCGCCCTGGCAACGGCGGGTTCGTTCCTCTCGCCCGCCCACGCAGCTTCGCACTACATGAACGTGAATCCGAAACCGATGTCCCGGTGGGGGGGGGTCTCCATTTCACTGCGATCCCCCCCTAACCTACAAACAACTATGAGAAAGAAAGAATGAGAGAGGCGGAGTAGAGAAAGAGAGAGAGAGAGAGAGACAGACATCAGAGACAGAGCGTGTATGCATGTATCTGTATGTACGTATGTATGTATGCATATTCCTCTTCCTATATTTTTACAAGCCCGGGCGGGGGGAAACCCGTCCCCCCAAAAAACCGGACTCCCGGGATCTGGGGCTTTGGGACCCTTCGGACGGGCCTCGAAGCGGCCACTGGGCCTCGCAGGGCGCTTTGCCAAGCCTTCCCAGCACACCTAGGGCGATCAGGGAGGTCATCGGAGACGTCCCAGAGACCCCCAAGACAGCACAAGAGCGCTCCAAGAGTGACCGACGTGACCTCAAGATGGCCCAAGAGGCCTCCAGGACGGCCCCAAAGAGGCCTCCGAGAGCACTCCCAAGAAGGCCCCCCGAGGCAAGAATCATTGATTTTCTGTTGGTCTTTGGTGAATTTGGGGGTTCTCCTCTTTTCGGCTTCCCGACGCTCCAAGACGGCGGTCTTCTGGGCGTCCGAAGCCGCCTGGGAGGCTCCAAAATCGCCCCACAACCATCCGGAAGGGCTTCCAGGCAGTCCAAGAGAGCCCCAAAACGGCACAACACGGGTCCAAGATGGCCCTCAGAGAGCCCCATGGCGGCCCAAGATGGCGCAAAGACACCCTCCGAAGAACTCTAAATCGTGATTCGGTCGTTCAGGGAGACTGCGGTTGGAGGCAGGGTGGCCCGAGGAAGCCCCCGGAAGCACCCAGAATACGCCCAGGAGGCCGCCAGAAGGCGTTAAGAAAGCCTGAAACAACTTTTGTGAGGCCCCTAGAGGCTCTCCACGGAGGAGGCTCCGCAAAAAAGAGCTGAGGAAGATGGGGAGAATGCGCAGGGTATGGCGAAAATAAGGAAGAAGAAGCATGGAGGAAAGGTAACGAGTAACATTATTATAGCGGCGATGCCGGAAAAGGCAACCAGGAGTTATCGCTAAATTGTCGGTTTGACTTTCCTGCTATTCCGCCTGCATACCAAACTTCAAGGATCAAGGTGCGTGGCGCGAAACG